CCATAAAAATAGAAAGAATTTAATTGGCCAACTAATATATATAATATAAAAATCAGCCGGGCATGGTGGCTCGTGCCTGTAGTCCCAGCTACTCGGGAGGCTGAGGCAGCAGGATTGCTTGAGCCCAGGAGTCTGAGGTTGCTGTGAGCTAGGCTGACGCCACGGCACTCACTCTAGCCTAGGCAAGAAAGCGAGACTCTGTCTCAAAAAAAAAAAAAAATAAAATAAAATAAAATAAAATAAAATAAAAATAAAAAGGTAGTAAACATTTATGGTAGGACATCTGGGTTCAGGGTTATTGTGAGAATGAAAACTGAATACAGGTAATGCACTTTGCATAGTATCTATAATTAGTGCATGCTCAATAAATGGGAGCTCTTCTGATTATTATGAATGGAGTTTTATTTGAATGTAATGCTGATGCTCTGAGAATTTTGTCAATGGTAAGGTACCGTGTTTCCCCCAAAATAAGACAGGGTCTTATATTTATTTTTCTTCAAGAAGACACCCTAGGGCTTATTTTTGGGGGATGTGTTATTTTTTTTTTAAGTATGGTACAATCTACATTTATTCAAATATAGTTAAGTCGTCTTCTGGAACATCATCATAACTCTCCAAACGCCGAATTCCACCCTGAATTTCTTGCGACTCTATTTCCTTTAGAACCATTGGCCCCAATCTCTCATGTCGAGCAATAGCATTCTCATGGGGCGGATGAGAAGGGCTGCTCATCTTCTCTCCCGCTCCGCGACGACACGCATGGGTTGTGCAGACGCGCTGCGTAGCCACGCCCATCACTAGGGCTTATTTTCGGGGTAGGGCTTCTATTGCGCAAATGCTTAGAAATCCTGCTAGGGCTTATTTTATGGGTAGGTCTTATTTTCGGGGAAACACGGTACTTACTTATTAAACATGGTCAAAGACCCAGCATTTTCCCAGTCTAGCAGAGATAGATGGGCATGTCATGAACATTCAGTAAATGTAATATGTTTTGATAAGTAAAGATTTCTATGAAGTGTTAAGAGAGATGGTGATTGGGCATGTATGGAAATTAAGGGTCACAAAGGATGTACCACTTACATCAAACTCTCCAAATTAACTCTGATGCTTCCAGAGGTTGGTTGAAGACAACACTGTGCCAGTCAGTACATAGCAGGAGGTACTCTTCTGTGGAAGTCACCCAGATCCTGAATTCAACACTAAAGATGTGAAGAGAGGCTGGCAAGGTGGCCATGGCAGGATGATCACTTGAGAGGAGTTTGAGATCAGCCTGGGCAATGTAGCAAGACCCTATCTCTACAAAAAAAAAAAAAAAGAAGAAGAAAATTAGCTGGGCATGTCTATGGGTGTCTGCAATCCCAGCTACTCTGGAGGCTATGGAGAATGCTCTAGACCAGTTCAAGGCTGTAGTGAGCTATGATCACACCACTGCACTCCAGGCTGGCAACAGGCTGTCTCAAAAAAAAAAAAAAAGTGGAAAGAGCCAATTCAGCATTGTCTGAAAAATTCTTATCAATCGCAAATTGTATGTATCTATAGCTATACACGTGCACAAACACACGATATATATTTCATACATATGAAGCCAGACGTATTATGTATATACAGTTAACCCTTGAATACAGGTTTGAATTCCGAGGCTCCACTTACATGAAAATTTTCTTCCTCTTCTGCTACCCCTGAGACAGCAAGACCGACTCCTCCTCCCTACCTCCTCCTCAGCCTGCTCTACGTGAAGATGACCAGACGGAGACCTTTCAGGTGACCCACTGCCACTTAACGAACAGTAAATATATTTTCTCTTTCTTTTGATTTTCTTAATAACATTTTCCTTCCTCTAGCTGACTTTCAGAATACGGTATACAATACATCTGGCATACAAAATCTGTGTTAATTGGCTGTTTCTGTTATTGGTGAGGCTTCCGGTCAACAATGGGCTTTATATGTAATCAATATAAAGATTAATGAACTGTTATTTTTTTATACTAATTTTTCAAAATCTGGTATGCATTTTACACTCACAACACATCTTACATTTCAAGGGCTCTCAGCCACTGTGTTTCTCCGAAAATAAGACCTACCCATAAAATAAGCCCTAGCAGGATTTCTAAGCATTTGCCCAATATAAGCCCTATCCTGAAAACAAGACCTAGTGATGAGCGTGGCTACGCAGCGCGTCTGCACAACCCATGCATGTGGTCTCGGAGCAAGAAAGAAGACGAGCAGCCCTTCTCATCTGCCCCATCGTGACAGCTACTATCCCAGAGGTGACGGAAATGTGCGGGCAGCCCCACCCACAAGGTCGGCTCCCCGTCAGGTCCCGGCCATCCTGTGCGTGCTGCAAGCTGAGGCTTTGAGGGGAAAATAACATCCCCTGAAAATAAGCCCTTGGGTGTCTTCTTGAGGAAACATAAATATAAACCCTGTCTTATTTTCAGAGAAACATGGTACATGGGACTGTCGCTACCATATCGGAGCGGGCTGGTGCAGAGGGCATGACTGGGAAAGCTGTTGGTTGCACTGGCCCCGAGCTCCGTGGTAAGGGAGTGTGTGTGTGTGTTTGGGGTGGGTGTGGGGAGTGTTGAGGGGGTGAAGACAGAAAGAAAGTGGATGAAGACAGAGGCTGAAGAAACCACTAAGTAGACTTGCTTGCAGAGACAGGTGGCAGGGGGTTGGTTGAAGATGGGCTGGGGTGTCAAGCCCAGGTAGCTGGGAGAAACTGGAAATTGTGTGCAGGATGAGATTGTAGGATGGGAAGATATTTAGCAGCTTGTGTCTTAGAAAACATTGCAGTCCAGAAGGAAGTGACCGACCACCCCTGCTTGTAACCTGGCCACACTCCAGATCTCCTGACCCTCAGCCCACTATTTAGGTTCACCGGACTGCTGAGGCTGAACACAGTTTTAAGTTCTCTTCTGCCAGTTCCGTGTCGCAGTGGATCTGGTGGTCAGTCATAAACTATACCAGGAACCCAAACCCTCCAGCCAGCCAGAAAGAGTGGGTGCAGGAATGAAAGCGAATTAGAACAACAGAGCCAGAAATTACCAGGTAATAGACATGGAGAGGGAGCTTTTCTATTGGATTTATTTATGATCTAATATCCTTTATTTCAACTTCTAGAAATAGAGAAAGGAGAGATATGGAAACAAAGATAAGTAGCACAAAAGGCGAGGGAGATACATTGTTTGGGATGGATTCTTTTTGCATACTTTATGTCATTTCACAATGTCTAGTTTGCACTTGTCAGACACCACATAGAACAACATACTAGAAACCTAAAACAAAAAAAAACATTAGCTCTAATATAAAGCAGAACCCACTGACATGGTGGTCCCCAACCTTTTTGGCACCAGGGACTGGTTTGATGAAAGACGTTACTATTCCAACAATATTGGACCATTTGGAACAAATCAGCAAGATAAAGAAGCTGGGTTCCTCATGAATTAAATGAACATCAGAAGAGAAATCATCTCAAAGCTTAACTTAGCTGTCACTACATAAAGGTGAATGATTTGTACACCACATTGTTACATGTGATGAAAAATGTATTCTTTTGACAATTGTAAGCATTCAGCACAATGGTAGAATAAAGATGAAGTGTTGAAACAGTCCAAAACCAAATATTCAACAAAAAAAGCTACTGGTGTCTGTCTGGTGGTCCAGCGCTGGTAGTATCCACTGCAGCTTCACGAAACCTGGTCAGTTACAGCGGCTGTCCATTGCACCCAGCTGGATGAAATGATGAGGATGCTTGCAATTAAGCAACCAAGATTGGCCAATAGAGATAGGCCAATCCTCTTGCAAGACAACACTCAACCACATCTTACAAACAACGCTGTTCAAACTACAGAGGCTGAACTTGGAAACTGTCATCCACCATATTCACCAGATCTTGCGCCAACTGACTACCACTTCTTCCAGGCTTTGGACCACTTCTTGTAAGGAAAAGTATTCAATTTTCAACAAGCTGTAGAAATACCTTTGAAGATTTCATTGCCACTTGCTCTCCAGGCTTCTTTGCTGCTGGCATAAACAAGCTAGCATTAATAAGATGCCAAAACTGAGTTGATAGTTTAGGTGCATACTTTGATTAATTGTACTGCTTCTTGAGATATGATAAACTGCACTTTTGATTTGAAATCAGACTTTTCAATATTTAATGACCTAATAAATTGTAACAGTATTTCAAGTTAGCTAATCTTTAATCTAAACGTGTTATGTTTGCTCATAATAAAATCTGGCCCCAAAGGGAGAAAAATCCTGCTTACAAAGGTATGTGCCACTACACGGTATGTGGAATATCTGCCAAGAAATTTTTTTACTCAATCTTCAATTTTAATGCTTCAAAAACAAATTATTAAGGTTAAAGTTTTTTCACTACACACTTGCAATTGTACACATGAGAAACTACTCTGATAAGTATTTCTGTCTCCTTAAATGTGGGTCTGGGAGTTACTTTGTGACTATACTTGGACAAATTTTATATTAACATATACGAGAGCAGTCCACGAGGTCTCCAACCACATAATACCACTCTCTTTATATTAACAATGGCTGGATACTTTCCAACAGCCCTCATACATTACTGTATGTTACTGTATTTCCTTTTATAAATTGTTACTGCTCTAAATGAAATCACACAGAAATGAAACATATGAAAGGAAACTACTAGTATGTATAAGAATTAGCCAGATTGGCACTTTTACTCACCAACCTGGCTAATTTTAGGCATTTCATATGTTTCACTGAGATTGATGAATAATTACAGAATGGCCAAGTAATTAATACTTGCCAGGCATTTTATAAATTTTAAAAGTTTATATAACCAAAATGATATACTGCTTCACAATTTTAATGTATTTTTTAAAACTTTGCTCAATACTTAAGACAAATATTATGGTTTTATAAATTCAGAATGTAGGGCCAGTCAATAAGTCTATTTTATGTAATTGGAGATTACTCTTGAATTTTTGGGTAAAAAATGTTAAGCAGCACAGACATTAGAGACACTGAAAGGTTTTATTTTTTTTTTTTACTTTCATCCAAACACACCCTTTTCTGAAAAACATAAAAGCATGCACATTGATGGCATTCTTATAAAGAAAAACTAAGTAGTAACTAAGCCATAAATCAACAATACAAACAAAAGTTTAAGTGATAGGTGAAAAGATTTACAGGTAGGCACAGGTCTCTTAATTTTAGAAAATAATAATTTAAGTCAATATCAATACATATTAAGGAGAAGCTTCTAATTTTCCAAACATTTTGATACAGAATTTTTTTCACTATCATATTTTATAGACCTTTTGAAAGAATGTTAAGTTCTAAGAAACATGACATTCAAGTGATCTTACTTTTGTCTTGGTAAAATGAGTTATAATCCACATAATTCCAATGGTATTGCCTCTTAAAATTTAGAGCATATCCATGATATTCAAAATAAGTCCCACAATTTCCATTTATTCTGACCTAGTTAGAAATAATTTCTAAATTTAGTATTGTTAAAAAATGTATTTAACAAAAACATGGGATTGATCTAAATTTTACTTTACAGGTAACACAAAATTCAGCATGAGGACACTTTGCCTAAGTTTTACACATGCCCCCATTTATAATTAGGCAAACTCTATCCTGAGTGTATATGAATGTGTATACACATATATTATACACACTAACATACACAAACCAATGCACACAACTCTTCAAAGATGTTGCCTGAAATGGCTTATTCTCTGGTTTTGGAAAAGCAGCGTAACACAATCAGACAAAATTTCCCTTAATTATTTTTTTCATTTTTTTTTAATCATGATTCAAGTGGTATGTTCCATCTGGGTCACTGACGAATTCTACAACAAAAAGCCACTAGCAGTAAGCATAAATGTTAACTTAAAGGACCAGTAGGCAACCAAGTTTAAATTATAACATAAAAGTAGAGCAGACCACACTTTAAAAATGTTTTCTTCCATGGGATATACTGTTCCACGACTGGAAACCGAGTGATTTGGTTCCTGGAACATAGCTCTTGTTCAGAGGTGATATTCCATTAAAACTAATGGGAAAGAAACAAATTAAATTCACTCAGCTTGATGAATTAAGTCTGTATTTCACTGGCTTGACAAGGTGAATTTCTTGACATAGACAAATGCAAAATGCCTCTGCAGCAACTGGTGAAGCTCACTCACAAGGGCTTAAAGAGTTCGACTTTGAGGCAGGGTGACTCTGGCTGGCTCTTCTTCCCTGCTGTGTGCAAGCCGCTGAGCAGCACCACTGGTGAGAATCCAAAGGAAAAGGAGAACACAGTGGAAATCTACCTTGGTAACACACAAGTGACTTTTGAATTAAATATTTTGCTAAATCAAAAAGTAAGTGAAAGGCACATGCTAGTAAATCTAGTTGGCTCCCATCACCTCAAAGACCTGGGAACTCAGGGTCGGACAAAGATTCACACTCAGTTCTTTGAGATGTATACATAAGAAAGGAAACCATGTTTTCAAGCACTTATGGCACAGACGTTGGGAAGTACTTAGGGTAGCTTAAATCTTCAAAAAGCTAGGCAATTTCTGCTACAATGAATCAGTCACAACTTTAAACTTCTCACATTTTATACATTATTCTTTTGTGTAGAGTACAGGGTGTGCAAATTAAGCAATTTCAATAAATATTAGAAATGTTAATTATTTTGCAAATATAAAATGAGTACAATCAGCTAATCATCCAATACAATAAAAACATTCGCTGAACAGCTTTTTTCCCCATGAACATTTTTTTGCCCTCTTCTTTGGACATTTCAATACTTAAATACAATTTCGTTCACTGACTTGCAGAAATTAAACAAAAAGTGAAATATTACCTAGCTGCTAGATACTAAATACTTTAGTGATAAGGGATTGGAGCTTTCCAGTTATAATAAATTGAAAATAACAAATATAGTGAAATATGCTGCAAATTAATGTTAAAAAATACAGCCATCTGAATTACAAAACAATAACAAATTATACAATCCTACTAAGCTTCTGTTTTGAGGTTGTCATTAGTTCACGGGAAAAGGGAAATGTAAAAAACAGCAGAAATTCCGTTTAGCTCCTACCTCTCCAGGAGCTCCAGAGCTAAAGTTGTAAAACCATGTATGTTTGCCCAAGACCAACTGCATACCAGCTCTAGTCACAAATTCTATTTTATCCAATGTTCAATCAACAAGGCTTTATTTACACACTTCTTATTAAATTCAGGAAACAATCTGATGTAACGTGCAGCCGCCAAAAACAGACAATGTATAGTACATCCCACTGCTTGGAGACAGCTCCCTGTTTATGTTTTAATAGTAACCCACAAGCAGCCCAGCAAGGTTCCGTATATCCATGTGTTTATATACAGTTTCCTTCCAGTCTCCGTCATAAGCATGCCCGCAGTCAAACCAGTTAAGATCAATACTGATGGTAAAGTCTTCTTGATACTTAATTTGGAATTAACACTTTTCCCAGGAAATTTGTTTCTTCTTTCTGGATCTGGTGAATCATAGAATTCTATAAGCATCCTATAGCCAGAAAGAAAAAATTTAAAGTTTCAGTTTTAGTCATTTCGATATTTCAATTCAACAAGTGTCTATCTATTGGGTACTTTACTTTGTACTGGAGAAGTTATACATGTTCTTGGAAAATAAGAATGAAAAAGAAACACTCAGAGACTTGGTTTAATAGAAGTTTCTAGTCTTTTAAAATATCTTTAATATACTCTATGATTAGTGTACATGAATTGTATATGTAGCTATTTCACAACAGATGGTTTATATGCCATGAGAATGTTTTTTAAACTGTCAATCTATAAAATTTTTATAGATTGGAATCTGTGTATATGGAGGGCCAACTATATATGGTGTTTCCCACAAAAGCCCTTATTCCTATGAAATTATGAACACAGGGAAAACAAGAAAAACAGTATAGTTAATTCATTTTCCTATTTCACTTAAAATAGGTAAAGGTATAATAGAACATAATATAATAATCTTAAACACAAAGGAACAGAAAGGGAAAGTCCTTCTATTGCTTTATAAATCACATTCCCTAGAGATAGCCACTGTTTGAAAATATTTCGATTCATCCTAAACACATATAAATACCTATAACATAAAATGATTGAGATATTAAATATACTGTTCAGTTTTTTCCCTGAGAACAGATTTTTATGTTAATATGTAGAGATCTTACTTTTAAATTTCTTCTACAGCCAACGTGATCCTGAATGGCTGGCTTGATATGTCATGTGTAAGTAAAAGTCAATAGGAGAGAGAAATTTAACACAGTTGCATTTTCAACCTATTATACTTCTAATAATTTTCAAAGTTAACCCATAAGAAGGGCCAGTTAGGAAATATTTTACTGTTTATATGAGGAAATGAAGAACAATCTCAGTCTCATATTAGAATAAAACACTTGGGTAAAATTTCTTAATGTAAACATGCTTTTGGCAATATTTTTAAAAAGTGTTTTTAAAAACTAGAAAACCATAATTTTCAGTGTGGTCTTAGTAAATGGTGCCTCTTACAACTAATGGATACATTTTGTCAAAAAGAGGATAAAAATACAGATGTTTAAAACATATCTTTCAAAAAATAGGATATACATCAGAAAGGATAAAACTTTCATTGATAGGAAAACAGTAAATTAATATCCTAAAATTTTCCTCTAAAAAATAGTTTCATGTACCAAATTCAATTTGTAAATATCCTATCTAAACCTAAGACTCACTTTTTATCTTCTTACAAAGAAAATAAAATTCTCAAATTTCTTTCTCGTGTCAAATCAAAGATACTCTAATATACTCTCTACTGATGTGACTTGCTGCTTCAAGGCTCTCTCTTTGGTAAGTGGAATACTGCACTCACTGCTGACCTCTTTACACTAAGCCTCACCTATAAGGAATCCAAATATGCCTTTCATCATGAGAGAACCTGAACCAGAAAAAAGAAAGAAACAAAGTTGCCTTTCATTTACTTAAAAGTAACTCTTATCAAGGTTCAACACCTTTGTTTGCTCCAAAGTGACATTAGCATGGGCGAACACAAGGTCAATCCCAGAAACTGCAAAACACTAACAACAGAAAGAAGATATTTCAATTGCCCCTTCCTTTTCCGACAGACAGTGTGGCACGTGTCCACCTGCGTGGCAGACACAACCTCTATTCGCAGAGCCATGCCTTCCCACGCGTGGCTGGCCTCACGGCTGGTCCTCACACCCACTACATCTCATCAGAGATGGCGGATTTAGGCATCTTACATCAGAAAGTTTTTGTGTGTGTGACTTTTTTTTTTTTTTTAATTTTATATCTTACCTTACAGTATTGTCCAAGAAATACTGTGTGACTTGTAAAAGTAATGTTTAAAACATGAACAGATAAGCATGGAACGAGATTTCACTTGAGTTTATAAAAAGCATTCTTGAGATAATGAAACTGTTTAAATTAGTTTCAAATTGTTTACTATAGTGAAGTTTTGTTGAACCAAAAGTTTTTGAAGTGCTGGAACTGCTGTTACTCACTTATCTTTTATTTCAAAACGTTCATGAAGCCATCTTCTCATATGTTCTTGCTCTTCTGGGACATCCTTTTTGTCTATACGATCAATATGAATATGAATTTTTGGACATTCTTTGCAGAGAAATTCTAACAAAGAACAAAAATATTTCATTGTTTATTATTTTAGAACTCATGGCTATATAAAATAACATGATGAAAATAAATCCAAAAGGCAAAAAAAAAAGCTTAAAAATGATTTTTAAAAAAGTACAAATTCTTCCTTTAGCAAAAATAAAAATGTAAAAAAATAAGAATTATAAACTGGTAGTTTTTGGTTTCAAGCTTAAGTAGAAGAACACACAATAATTTCCAAATCAACCATAGTTATGTAAGTCATTAAGTTAAATCAACAGGACCAAATGTTATTTTTCACACAACTGTGAGTTCCATAGGAAGCCCAGGGATAGGAAACCAGACCCTAACCCTACTATAAGTCCATACCCAACCCACCAAAAGGATTCCCAAATGCCAAAGTACCAGACCCACTGTCTTCATTCACACCACCAGCTCCCATCCCAGGGTGTCACTTGTCAACATCCCACCAGACTGTGAGCTCCACAGGGTAGAGAGGGAGTCAGTGCGGTTCACTATTACACACCCTGATCTGGCAAAACAACTGGGCACTTACAGGCACGCAGTAATCCTCAATTCCTAGTTCCTGCCCTGACATGTCAGCTTCCCATCATTGACTGCTACAGAGCCAAAACAAGCTTGGGTGAGCCGTTGCCTCTCCTCCATGACATGGTTGTTGGTTTCTAATCACCGGTACTCCTTCCTTTCCTGATACTTGCCATATCTTAACATATTATATACTTGGTTCAGAAACCAAAATTCTTACTGTGGAATTGCTATGAGCCCTTACATAACAGCAGTTCTTAAGACATGCTAATTTGAAAAAAAGGAGACAGTCTTTCTCAGCCTGGGCTGTACACAGGATGAGGCCAGTATTTATTGTAAGATAAGAAAGAAACTTGAGCCTAGAAACTCCCTCATCTGTAGGTTGCTCTTTGTGGAGAGGTGAGATTATTAACATATTTCAGTTCCTTGGAGAATAAAGAAATATTCCTAAGAAACTGAAGAGCATAAAATATAAAACCTATATTAATATTTTATAATATGGAAATAGAAAAAAACATAACTAGAACTGTACAAAATGTGTAAATAGAACATCAAATGTCCTTAAGCACACAATTTATTATGGTACACCACCTACTTTAGAAACACAATTAAAAAAAAAAAATCAATTATAGCCAAGCTATCCTGTCTCACCTCTGCCCCAGCGGACATTTTCTATGATGACAAGAACAAGTGAACCAGGAAAGGATGCCCAATTGGGCTGTGAGTTATACCTCCCTTAAAATGAAACTTACACCACAGAATGGGAGGATAAGGGACATGCTTCTCTCTACAACCAACATGAGGTCTCACTGAGGCCACAGCCACCAGACCCCAGTGATCACAAGAATGCCTACAAGGTCACGAACACTGCAGCCTCCCGCTCTCACCCACAGAGTCTGGGTGGCAGCCTGGAGTGGAGCTGAGGCCCTGCATGTTCAACAGTCACTCCAGGTAATTCTAATGGAACCATAATCCTCCTACAGTGCTTTGAGAAACACTGGGCTATGGCATATAAACAAACAGTATAGCAGCTTTAAGGAAAAACTGGTTTACTGAGACATAAATATGAATATTAAATGATAGCCTACAATGCAGAGAGATAATATTTAATACTAAGGAAACTTGGCCACAAAATACTTTGGAATATTACAAGTTATAGAATTTTACACCTAACTCAACTTACATCAGACTTCATATAATTTAAGGTGAATCTGAATCTATAGTAGAGTATAACTAGATCATAATATTAACCAATTTATATAAACAATAAGAGCAGGGTTTTTCAAGTTACAGGTCACACACCTGACAAAGTCAACACATTACAAGGAAAATCATGTAATTTCTCATGTGCACAGGTACACATGTAGAATGACTCAGAAGTGGGAATATTAAATTCAACATATAAATGCATTTGTAAATTTGATAGACATTTCTAAAACAACTTCTACAGAGGCTATATTATATTGCATTCCTAACAGCAAAGTATAAAAGTGCTTATAATACTTTGATTTCACCCACTAAGCCTACTATCAAACCTTGGGATTTTTGCCAATCTGATGGAAAAAAATTAGTATATCCCAATGTAGTTTCAAGTTGCATTTCTCTTATTATGAATGAGGTTGGACATTTTTTGTGAACTGTTTGCTCTTATCCTTCACCCATGTTTCTTTTGAGTTATTGGTCATCTTCTTATCAATCTGTAGAAGTACTTTAGAGATTAAGAAATCACCCCCTTTTCTATGATCTAAGTTGCAAATATTTTTCTAATTTGTCTTCAGTCTTGACTCTACTCTGGTGTACTTTTTCCTTGTAGAGATATCTTATTCTTAATTGATTAACATGATAGATTTTCTTTGGGTGTCTGGGCATGACAGCTAGAAAAGCCAATCTTTAAAAAAAAAAGACAATTTGTAACAAATATGCATGAGCAGTGGCAACTCCAAAGCCACACGGTCAGCTCACGTGTAGAACAGGACACAACACGTGTGGCAGGAGAAGAAGCTGGGTCTGGAACCTGAGCAGTGCAACTCTGAAAGGGCTGCCCTTCCTTGAGGCACTATTTATGCAGCGGGAGGCAGATAAAGATTAACCATAAGCCAGTGCCAACACCGTGGCATTTGCACTTCGTGCCATAGGAGTGCGGAGGCAGCGGGAAGCATTGCGAGCTAGGAAGCAAATATACTGGGAAAGGCTTCATCTGAGACCAATTCTGAGGGAAGAGTAGACATGGGGTCTTGCTATGTGGCCCAGGCTGGTCTTGAACTCCTGGCCTCAAGCTATCCTCCTGCCTCAGCTTCCCCAAAGTGTTGGGATTACACACGTGAGCCACTGTGCCTGGCCAAAAGCAGCATTTAAAAAAATTATTATGGGGATTACATCTATTTTTCATAAGTAATAAAAACTTGTTTAATCTTATTTTTTTAAACCATGCTTAATAAATTAATGACAGTCTTGCTGAACAACTAAATGCATGTGTGTTTTTATAAGTAAAAACAAGGACTCCTTCAATGGTTCAAAAAGACAAAAAAATATTAACAGGGTTTTTTTACAAGAAGAGAGGGACAGTAGGATAAGAATGTATACTTAAATTTACACATACAATACACAAGAAATTGAGAAAAGTGGTTATTACTGGGAAAGGGAAGTGGAGAGCAGATGGATGGGGACAGAGTGGAAAGTGAGAAAGACATTTCATTGTAGACTTCATAGAGGTTTAATTTTTAAACTGATGCATTATATATTCTAAAAAATTACATATAAAATGAAAAACACCTTATTTTCCTACTTTATAATTACTCTGTGTTAAAGGCAATTATGAGAGCAATCAGCCTTCACATGTAACTACTTTAGATTTTTTTCCTTCACAGTAACCAATTTTTAGGCCACACAGTCCCCTGGGCCTCACCCCTCCTCCCTGCTCCCTAACTTCCAGCCATAGCAGCTACGCTCTTTTTTGGCCCAAGAACTTTTCTTCTAAAGCTTGAGTGAACCTCATCATTATTTAACAGATTAATCATTTTACAACTACACTGTCACTGTACTTCGGAAAACCCCCTGGTCCCTAAGGAATGTGCACAATATGGTATTAGATAATTCAAGGGTGCACAGCACTATGTCCAGACAGTGGCAGTGTACGGCTAGGTGACATAATTTCTATCCTTGCTAACTTCTAAATATTTTAATTATGTTTATTTCTGTAAATGCTTCACAATGCTAATAACATTATTCTATAAAATTTCTAAAGCACATCAAATTCAGAGGAATGCTTCAGGAGCAGGTTTCAGCATAACATATGTGGATGGTTCATATTTTGGAGACCTGCCTTCAAGAGACCCTACTGATACAAGCACTCTGACAAGCATGTTACTTCAAGCAAATACTTCAAACAGCTGACAAAATAAAATACAAGCCCAGTGTTCTCTCTCTTGACCCCAGCTCAAACAGATACTTAGAAAAGAGGATGGAAACACCACACTTCCCAATTTTCCTATTTCCATGTTTAAATTTCTCCAATAGTCAAGAGAGTCTTTTGGTTATGTTTAAGTATTCTGCTCATTTAAAATTCTATTTTTTCCTTATTAAATCTGACAACGACATAGACAATAGCTCAAAGGTCCTTAAAACCTAGCACGTTTGAAAAAAGAAAAAAAAATCACACTCAACTGTCTTGTGAAAACTACACTTAAGGATCAGCACTGACCATTAATGCACACCTCAGTATTGCTAAGTGAGTACTCCTCCCATTCCCTCACTCTGTCCTCTGATTTATGGAGCTTTGTGTATGAACTTTGGGTGGAAAGAGCCTGCATTAATGATAACTGGTGAGTACAAAGGACTAATACGGCAGCCAAGAAATACCAAACTTAGCAGGACTAACGAAATTTCAACTGTTACACATTGATAGCCCCTTGAAAAATACATCAAGTGAATGTAGTGAAGGAAAGTACACTTATCTATTTTAAAAAAATAAACTATACATTCATGAAGATATGAATTACACATGTTATACAGCATATACTTTCAAGTGCATGGAAAGAACTTACCAGTCATGGACGGGGACTCTTTGCGCTGCCCTCTGTCATCTTTCCCTTCGTACACCACTGTAACATCATAAATTGCATCTAAGTAATTCTTCATAGAATCAAAAGCAACATAAGTTGCCTTTATTCGTGGTGTCAGCACATATTTTAATACTGCAAGGCCTGAAAGAGAAGTTGATTCAGTGTGGCCATAAATGAGTCACAAAACACCCCTGCAATATAATACATTAAGTTCAACATCTAAATCATTTTTAAATTTCCACAAGTAGACAGACCATAATATCTTAATGCCATAGTCTCATGTCTTGAGGGCTTTAAGTTTAGAAAGCACTCTCACATTCCTCTTTCTATTTAAATCAGCATTCATTTAATAAATACCTACACCTACAAGACACTGTTGACAACTGTCAGAAAACTGGACCTTGGGAAGCTTATGGCCTATTGGAAAACCCTTCAATTCAGTAAACCCTGCCAAGGGCAAATATTATCATCCTAGCTTCTGGGAGGTGAATAAACGTGGTAGCATCTTGCCTGTAGTCTCTCAAGATAGGTTAGGAGTACAATTCATGGTTTCTGACTCCTAGTCCATGACTCCTTTAGCTTTATTAATGTAACAAAGATGGGGGAAGAGGGTCACTTAAATGACCCTCACTGTGTACAGTATCTGAAGTGAGAGCTGACATGCTCCACAAATTGTGAAAAACTGACCCAATATTTTTAGGATAAACTAAAGAACCTAGCTTCTTGGTATAGTTTTTGTTTTAATTGTTTTAATTCACAGACCCTAAAATGCACCATTTTAAAGTATTCAATCCAGTGGTCTCAAGTCTATTCACAGAGCTATGCAACCACCACTAGCTACGTCCAGACTTCCAATTTTCATCAGTGAAAGGTATACAGATATGCCCTGCACTGTCCGCACACACTGCACACCCCCCTTGCCGCCCAGCCCTGGCTACCACTGCTCTGCTTTCTGTCTCTATGCATTTCCTTATTCTGGACATTTTATATAAATAAAACCATGTAGTATATAACCTTCTGTCTGGCTTCTTTCACTAAGCATGTTTTCAAGGTTCATCCATGTAGTTGCATGTGTCAGTACTTTATTCCTGTTTATTGCTGAGTAATATTCCACTGCAGGGACAGACCACATTTTGTTTACCTATTCATCAGTTGATGAATATTTGGTTTGCTTTCACATTTTGGCTATTATAAGTAATGCTGCTATGAACATTCATATAAACTCATATGAATGCTACACATCAATAATTTTTGTATGAACATACGATTTGAATCCTCTTGGGTATCTGATATGCTTTTAATACTGCAATTATCTAGAAGTCATCATATATTCAGCAGTGTGACTATTAGCATTAAGGATTTGTTCTTCCCTTCCTGTTTCCTTCCTATTACCTCCCTTTTTTCCTTGATTAAAATTTTTACTGACAATTTAAAAGAAAACAGTAGCTCTCAAGAAAAGATACAAAAATATACTAGAAAAAAACTAGCCTGAATTGTCTACTGGCCTCTCTCCAGGGAAAAGTAGCTGCATAAAGAAGAACAGCTACAATATGGTGGGACTGTCCCTCAGAAGAATTTTTAAAATGCAGGGTGGTGTGGGAAAGAGAAAGATTCCCACAGCCACATATCTGACTAAGTCCCCAGGGCAAAAGCAGTTTAATTTATTCACAAACTTATAACAAAAATCTGAATAGCATACCAAGCTGGGAAACATTTATTTGTCAAATTAGTTATTAGCACTTCCTTCTTTGCTATTATAGTTCATCCAATTTTATCAAGTTCAAAGTTTCACAGAATCACCCTGTGGTGTGGTTCAATAAGAACAATTAATTACTAGGATCTAAGTAAGTTATAAGAAAATAAAGACGTAAGGCTAATATGTAAAAATAGAAGAGTTATAATGAAGGTTTAAAAGTCAGCTTTGTGACATGAATAAGAAATAGCCAATAATAATATGTAAACAAAACCAAGGAAAAAAATCTTTTTTTCTACTCATTATGACCAACTGAAAATCTTCTAATTCAGAAATACACTAGAAGCAGCTCTAATTACTCCAAGCACATTTTCTGTAGCAAGTTCTCTGTATCAAATCCAAATGCTGAATATTCCAGGTTTTATTTTTCAGCACTCAAAAAAAAAAAAAAAAAAAAAAACAAAAAAAAACAGCTAATAAGGAAGAAGAGAAACAATAGACCGTGGTGACGCAGATGCCCGAAAAAAATGGTCAGCTGCTTTCACTGGGAAAACTGAAAGGCCAAGGACTGAGAAGGGACCACCTGGTGAAATGGAGGTCCTGGGTTACCTGACCAGTATGTTCAGAGGAGTGGTAGGAAAGAAAGCTCAGAGTGGGTTAAGTGAGGCGCTGATATGTGAGGTGAGAAAAACCACCACAGCAAATTCTTTCCTGTATGTATTGCTAACACATGGCCTATTAATTTCAATGGATTTGAATGAGATTTGCTTACCATTAAAATAAATAGAACCTAGCCCTTCTCTGATAACTCAAAAGTCACTTCCCATTTCTAAACCAGAACCCATAAACTCTAGTCCATATAGTGAATTATGTGCAATCTCTGACCATGGGGTCTTCAACTCTGTACAGTGATGAGGTACTCACTATCCTGAAATCTTGGGTATTACAAAATAATAATAGAGACCAATTAGAATTTCAATGGAGAGAAACACAAATAAATTCTAAATTAACTGCTCTAGCTTGAGCCCACCATATTGAGATTTGACTCTGTCTCCAGGGAACTACATAAAAGCCTTGAGCCCTAAACAGAGAAAAATGTTAATGCTAATTAAGTTAATTCTTCCTAGTCAGTATCTAGTATCTGTTCTAGTACCTGCTTTGCCCTGTTTTCATCTCAGGATCTCCTCAATTTCTGCTTAGTATGACTGATGACCTACTGTATCCCCCGACAGAGATTCTCCCTAAAAGCCATTTGTGATGATAGTTGGGTATAAATGAAATTTTGCAGTATTATATTTTAGAAACATTATAAATAAATGATAAACACATTAGACAAAAAAAACACTAATGATCAATTTAGAAAATTTTACATTTATATACAGAATTCAGACTATAATATATTTAATATATATTATCTCACTCGATTCCTACAAATTAACTGAGGCTCAGAGAGGTAAAATGACTTGCTCAAAGTCATACAGCTAACAAGACCTTATAATATCTAGTTCAGTATTTCTCTATTCTATAATTATTAATAAGATACTATTCTAAAACTATATACATGTAGATTAGAGATTAATGAGGCAATAAAAATAACTAGAGTATATAACAGAATATCTTGAGATATAAAATATTCTAAGAATATAAAGATATTATTCATATTTCAAGAAAATGCCCAATTTTGTTAGTCCTTCTGTTTTAACCCTCAGTATTAGCTACCAATGTTTGCCATTATCAATAGACTTACCTGTAATGGTCCCTTCTCCATATTCTAAGTTAGTAGTAATGAATTATTAAATATTATATACCAGGCTTTCTCTAAATACTGTGTCACTAAATCCTCACAAAAGCCTTATGAAGCAGTTATTATGATCCTTGGTTTACAAATATGGATAGAGGTAGAAATAAACTAACTTAAGGTTATATAACTAATATGAGCTTGGGAATACAGTCCGAAGCTAATGATCATGTCCACTATGACTAAATACTGGCAGAAGAGTGATACTTGATAAACGCCATAAGGAAAAGTTGAAAAGAACTTTGAGAGTCTATCCCCAGCTGATATAGCCACTCCAAATATGTCATGAGGTATACTGGTAAAGTCATCTTAGACTTTCCAGCCCTAGTCAAGCTTCTACTTTAAATGCAGTAAAATAAGAGACCACAGGTGACCATGTGGAAGAGAGAGAAGAGCTAGCCCTGCTGAGCTCTGCCCAAAGTACAGAATAGTGAGCAAATAAATGGTTATTACTGTTTGAGGTCATTAAGTTTTTGGGTGGTTTCTTACAAAGCAATAGATAATTGAAACAAGAAGTAATAAGATTTTAAAGTATGGTAGTAATTTTGGCAATGGAGAGAAACTCTAGATTTTGCTGATATGTTGTATGTTTGGATGGATAAAGGGAAGAGTCTAGGAGGACTCCCAGGTTTTGGACTGAAAGATGGAGTTACCAAGATAGTAAACATGAGTGTATGGGTGGAAGGATAAATTGTATCTTTGACATACTGAGTTTGAGAGATGCCTTTGGGTCAGCCAAGTGAAACTCCCTAGAGAGCAATTGTATAATACATATTGGTCTAGAAGTAGGCAGAGAGATAGATAATGGGAAAAAGCTTTTTGTGAGTCATCAGCAGTCATACATTGGCTGAAGCCATGGATTTAGAGGACAAGCACCATGAAAAACAAAGAAAGTGTAATGAACAACAAACCAAAGTCAGATATCTGAAACAAGAAAGAATGAAGCCAAAGAATAGGCTCGAAAAGACTATGAAGGAGTCACCACAGAGGTAGAAGGAAAACAGAGAACAGCCCTACAGAAGTCTAGGGAGCGAATTTCAACAAGAGAGCATCTAGAATTTTTTATCAGATCACAATGAATTGAGGGCTGAGTGAAAACTGAAAAAGTGGATACAAAAGTGGATAAAAAAAGTGGATACAACCAAGGTAGACTACAGATTCAGAGGGCTTCAGCTGTTAATGAAAGGGGGAAACGATGCTATCAAGAGGAAAATATAAAACTGAGGGAGAGCATTTTTTTTTAAATGTGCAAACAGCAACAGAGACAATGGTACTGCAAAAAAGCAACTGAAAGATCATGATGTCTAGACTAGATAAGAGAAGGCAGAAAAAGTCAAAGGGGAATTGACAGGGAGACAAATTGAACCCTCCTGTTCCTGAGCCACTCCTTGATACCAGTATATGTGACATATCTTCTCTTGCAAGCACCTTGTAAGAGTTCCACCTGATTTTAATTAAAATAAAATTAAAAGCTCATTTCCTCTGATACACTAGTTACATCTTGAATGCTCAGCAACCACACGTGGGTAGGAGCCAGCAGACTGGACAGAGGAGATAAAGAACATCACCATTATTGCAGAACGTCCCATTAGACAGCACTGTCTCAGACCCTGGCATAACATCACAAACGAGACACCTGCTCAGCAAAGTGCGTGCTGATCTACACATGGAGATCATGTACTAATTCAACACCAGTCTTCAAAAGACATCTTTGAGAACACAGCGTAGACACTGTTTACTATATACTTCCCAATTGGGTAATGTTACACAGCTTATTATGTATCAACTATCTAATTTTCTAAAATACCGGTACTAAGAACATTACCACTGTTGAAGACATTAATAGCTTCCAACTATGAACTAACTTTGTGTTATATTCTCTACTAGAAACTTTAATATTTTCTAATTTAATTCCTACACAGATTTAGGTCTACTCATAAGGTATATATTCTTTTAAAAGATGAGGAGGCTGGGCATGGTGGCTTACACCTATAATCCCAGCACTTTGGGAGGCCAGGGCAGGAGGATTCCTTGAGACCAGGAGTTTGAAACCAGCCTGGGAAATATGGCAAGACCCCATCTCTACAAAAAAATTTAAAAAATTAGCCAGGTGTGGTCCTAGCTATTTGGGAGGCTGAGCCAGAAGAATTGCGTGAGCCTGGGAGCTGGAGGCTGCAGTGTGCTGAGATTGTGCTACTGAGCTGTAGCCTGGGCAACAGAGCAAGACCCTGTCTCAAAAAAAAAAAAAAAGAGAGAGTGATGAAGAAACTGAAGGTCAGTCACATAAGGCAACTTGTAGTCATATAGCTAATAAAAGTCAGAGTTTAGATTCCAACTTAGGTCTGTCAACCTACAAAATAGAAACTCACACATAACCCACACTGTAGAAAAAGTTTCCATCTAGATAGATTTTAACAAAATCCATAGCATAGGAATATGCATTGTACCAAGCACTTGAATTTAATCTCTTAGACATATGTAACAGCATGCAAATGAATTAAGGAGAAGAAATTTCGTTTCCTAAGAGATAATATATACATTCACTCAAGGAATGAATACATTCTTCCATTCAATTGTTGTAAAACATACGTATCTTCTCCAGGAAGAAAACTAAAAAGGTCATTATTTTTAAAAGTTGTTTGTTCAAATACAGTCAAATTTTTACTTACCTTTTTCAGCAGCAAATGCCTGACTAGCTGAAAGGACTTTTGTTTGTCGTGGATTATATCTTGTACCTTCTGGGAAAATCACAAGATACATCTGTGGGGCATAAAGAAAATTTAGTTTATTTTGTGTGAGTTTCGTCGTTGCTGCTGTTGTTGTTAATCATTTTAACCACACTAACGATAAGTATTTCCTAGGGTAGGATAAAACAGTAGAGTCCTTTATTTGTGACCTTCATTTCAAGCAGAACCATCCAAATGCAACAATTCAATTAAGTCTGAACATAATATGGACTATATTTAAAATGCAGTCCTACATGTGCTGGTATATCAGTCATTAAGAATCTAAAAACATTTTTAATTACATGCTAATAGCTTACTAATTAAAAATTTGGCCATGAAACCCTGATTCATATAAAGCTTCAATTAATGAAACCTTTCCCCCCAACATCCTGTACTATGACATTTTTAAAAGGTGCAAATTTTAGAAATCAGTACCCTTAAGTATCAACACTAAAGTGCATCTTATTTGAGGAAAATCACATATAAATATCTAAATTTCCAGAATGTAAAAGGTAGTAAGTGTTCAACACTGCAAAAGGTTCACATAGAATTCCTATGTTACAGAGCTTCCTTAATGCATTTTAAATGACTTAATTTATAAGCAACCTCATATTTGTTACATAAACTGAACTTGGAATAATGTATTTGTAAATAAAAAAAATATTAAGCTGGATGCTTATTAAGTATCCAATTAGTCTAAATTTTTACACTCACCTGCTTGGGAAGGTTAAAAACAGAAACATTAAAATTATACAGCAAAAAAAAACCTTCTAACTTGAGAACTAAGTTACAAAAACTATACTAATAATTTTGATTGATAGCCAAAAGACAAAAATAAGACATGCATACAAAACCTTTTCATATACAAACAGAATATAGAAGATGTTCACGGGAGAAAACCATGTTCATTTCATCCATTCTTGCCATATCCCAGACAATACTGTCTACCCTTATACATCTGGTATAGCAGATTAGGATTAAGCGCTTCCAAAGTTTCATTTGTAATACTGGTATAATGGTATCTTTGAAAATTTTCCATTTTCACCTTCCATCCAAATATACAAGTTTTCTATTCATCTATATAATAACCTTCAGAACTCATTATCATATCTGATGATGAAGATTGACCAATTGTACATTTTCTGTTAGGAAAATGTACAAAAATGGGTAAAATTAAGAAAAAAATTAAAAATTCCTTATTATATTACAGCAACTAGAAGGAAAAACAAGAGGAAAAAATATTAAAAAACCACAGAACTATATACTTTAAAATGGTGAATTTTATGGCATGTGAATTATACCTCAATTTTAAAACTAAAGAAACAAAAACAAAAAACCAAAAAATCCATCACTTCCTCTACTTTCCACAAGTCAGCAAGTAGGGTTTCAAATTTTAAAAGGGACTCATTATTACATAGAATAATAGCTACATTTTAAAAGTAAAATACATACCCATCCATGATTTCATTTTGCCAAAAAATAAATAAATAAGAAGTAAAATAGTTTGGTGGGTATATAAAGTCATGAATAAACACCAAATGTTATTTTATGACCTCCACTCCACAAAAAGTCAGTGATATTCTACAGGAAATCAACTTTCCAGAAAATGTACCTAAACAGTATAGAACTAGGGTAGTACCGCCTGAATGCCTGGCTCTAAAACCCAGCTTCTCCACTTACAGGACAGGACCTGAGACCGTGGATATATTCTTATCCTCTTTGTGCCTCAAATTTACTCATTATTGAGAAAATGAAAATTGTAACGGTACCTATACCCTACCTCATAGAGATATTGTGAATGTAAAAGGGAGTACTACACAAAATCTACTTAATATAGTACTAGGAAGAAGAGCAACAGGACGCAAGTCATTAATCATCCTACCCTGGTGCTCTGCCTTCCCATGGTCAGTCTTTAGAGTCACAATTGCAGGAACAACTTCTTCTAAAGGCAGCATGGCTAGAGTAGTACTCCTAGTTCTCTTTCCTGTAGGTCAGTCAAGCATGGCAGACAGTACAGATGGAACCTCAAGATTTTAAAATAAAACTTTTTTCCTTCTTCAGGTGGTCTCATCTATTTCCTTGCTAGTGGTTTCAAATTGCTGACAAAAAAACAGCTATCTTTTTTAGTTCCCAAGAGAAACGGAGAAAGTGGCCACATAAGAGGGAGAAAGATTAAAAATGGAACATCAGACCAAGAAAAGAATTATTATAGGGCAGTCTGATATTCTGGACCCTCTTCTCAATTAGAATTAATAAAAATGAAATATCTGCTCAAGGACAGGAGAAACAGAATACAGAAAGAAACTGTCAAACTATTACAAACAAACCAAATTATGTAGAAAATTTTTTGCTATTGTACACATAAATATCCTGTTCTGGTAAATTTTCATTTAAGGAATCAGAGATTCTGTTCTCTTCTTTGATGACTTTCCATATTCAGAAAAATCTATATTCAAGATTTGATATACCATAGATACTTTGGCCTCTGATGGAAAATTAGCAAGCTAATTCACATTAAAAACCAATTTAAAAAGAAAATGGCTATTTTAGTATTTTAAATATACTCAAATTACTAACAACTATTGAACTGATGACTTTCTATTAAAAATAGCCTACTCTACATGCATTGGATAAGTTAATTTACTTTTTAACTGAGTCTTAACTTCTCATCCCAAAATGAAGGCTCAGGGTTGCCATAAGGATTAAAGGAAATATGTGACAATATCAAGCACTATGTAGCAAACTCTTAATAAGTATTAAGTTTCAGGCTGGGTGAGGTGGCTAATGCCCATAATCCTAGCACTCTGGGAGGATCACTTGAGGTCAGGAGTTTGAGGTTGCAGTGAGCTGTGAAGATGCCACGACACTATACCAGGGGTGACAGAGTGAGACACTGTAAGTTTCCGCCTTTAGTTTAATTCTATTTAGTTTACTAAACAGTTTTTAAAGCTGGCACATTTATATAGAAGCAGTATCATAGGACTTCATAAACTATGATTAGGTATACATCTTTTAATTACTGTTTTCTCTTTAAAAAGCTATTTCATATTGAGATACATAGACTATAAACAAGATAGCTCATCTCTGCATTATGTCCCCAAATTAATCTAATCTAGCAAACCACAATCTTTATAAAGTTTACTACAATTATAATCACAAACACTCAACTCATTAAAAATTCCATTATACATTTACAGAGAAAAAAATACAAAAACGTGGCAGAATACAAAATAACAATCTCTTTCCTCAAGAACTTATGGATGTATGGAAGTGTCATATGTATGATCAGAAAACAATTATAAAATTACACAGGTACATACATGAGCGTGGTAGGCAGAATAATACTTCTCCCTACTCCCCCAACCATCTATGTACTAATCCCCACAACCTATGAATACCTTACGTTACGTGGCAAGAGAAAGCTAAGATTACTAATAACCGTTGGACCTTAAAACAATGAGGTTATTTCAGACTACCCAAGAGGCCCAATGTAATCATAAGGGTCCTTAGACAGAAAAGAGGGAAGCAGGGATCAGAACCGAGGACATGGCCAGCAAAGACAGACCAGGCCAGCCACTCCTGGCTGTGAACAGGGAGAGAAGGCATGAGCTAAGGCAGGCAGGCAACCTCTAGAAACTAGAAAAGGCAAGCAAGAACATGGATTCTCCCTGAGAGTCTCCAGAAAGTACCTCAGTCCCACCAACACCTTGATTTCAACCCAGTGAGACCCATGCTGACGCTTGACCAAATGGTTAAGCCAAGAATGGTTAATATAATAAATCTGTGTTATATCAAGCCAATAATTTGGGGTAATTTGTTACAACAGCAACAGGAAACTATTAATAAGACAGTGAGTATAATTTTCAAGCATGTTGTTTAATCCCAGCTATCAAATTAAGTAGTTATTAACAGATTTAACACATAAAGAAACTAAAGCTTAGAAAGGTTAAGTAACTTGTGCAAAATAAAGTTTAAAAATCAGATCTGGAATTTTAGTCCAAAACTGATTTCTAAGCCAATACTCTTATTTACTAGATTGCCTCCCATTTGAAAAGGCACTAGAGTAAAAGTTGGAAGAAAGGCAAAGCATCAGTCTCCATATTTGTGCCATAAATTTTACTAGGTCAAATTCTGACTAAATGACCTCTACAAATAAGTAGTTATTTTTATTATAAATATATTTAATTTGCATCCACAACTAATAAGTACCTTATGAAAATACTGTATTATCCCAGAAATAATTATGAAGATATATTTCTTCATATTAATTTATAATAAAGATTCATTTTTGAAACAGAATTTTGCAATCTATCAAGTAATACTAAGAACTGAAGTAATCATGAAATAGATTCATGTGAGAATATTAAGCCATATGAAAGGTGACTTGATAAATATATTTTACCATGTCAATCACTTAATTAACTTTAAGAAACAAGAGTATAATGAAGAACCTGAGCAATATATATGTTTTCATAGGGCTTAAATATTTAAAAATGTAACAATCATCTGGATTCTAAGAAACCAGACCTTGTACACATAGTGACAAAGTGACAACTACACATGGCCTTAGGAGCCTGCTAGTCTACTATTCCATATTGTGCTAGCAACACAAAAAGCTAGATAGACTTTTGCCCTTGAAAACAGGGAGGTTCTTTTGGTAGCCCATAATAAAAGACTACGGTTATTTGAACCAACCTTCCTATCAAAAACAATTTTAAAAGCTGGATATAATATTATTTTAAAAGTATCAAAGCAACAAGATGGTAAGATCAAAATTAAGCAAATACAGTAAAGCAGTAAGCACAGAACGAAACTTTTATTTCAAAAGACTTAAAAGATGAGGGGAACAAAACCAAAGTCCATGGACCTTCTTTTAGAAAGGTTAAGAGTGAACCAGAAGTGAAGGAAACAATGGGTTACACTTACAGGGTCAAAGTAAACCAGAAGTAAAACCAGTCTCACAATTTGCAACCCTGGTTGCATTGCCTGAAGGTCCACTTAACCTTAAGTTGAGAATTTGGGTTGGGTGGGGCCCAGACTAGAGCAGCTGGATGGGGCCCAGCTAAAGCAGGTACAAAGGTTCTCTGGAGGAAGGCACTTTTGCCAGAGGCTTCAACTGATTTCTACAAATAATTTACCAAATACAGTCAGTAGCAAAGGAAGATAACCCAGCACAGGAGGAAAGAAAGCACCCTGAGCAAGAACCAGCAGAATAAAACAGACTCAGGCAGGATGTTAGGCACTGGAATGATTAAACATCTCTTATAACCTATACCTTCAGTATTTAAAGAAACAAAGAGAAGCTTGAAGATTAAAACAAAAATAACAGAGACTTACCATATAGCACGTCATACAATGAAAAATACAATAAATTAAAAACACTGGTGTCAAATAGATTTGTGGTACACTAGATTGTACCTTGAATGGAAAAAGGACAATTAGTGGAAAAACTGGTGAAATCTGAATAAATTCTGCAATACAATTAATAGTATTGTATCAATGTTTATTTCTTAGTTTTGACAACTTAAAAATGTTTTGTAAAAGAAAGTAGATATACATATTCCCAATCTATTCTCTTTTGGAGATCCATAAACAATGACCCCAATTTTGCCAAAATTCACCGTACTATTTCGAAATAAGCAGACTCTTTTAAAATACCAAGCTTGGTTTTTGAGGGTAAACTGTAACAGGATAAAGGGCCACTGCTCATCTCATTGCGTTCTACTCCCTTCACCCCAAAACAGAATGCATTTCCTAATGTAAAAACACCTAGAAAACGTACATGAGTAACAGATGTTCACACTGGGCACTTTACTCGCTGACTCTGGAGAACTCTTCCTTCAAGGTGAGCTCTGGCTGCAGCCTAGGAGCCCTCATGACGGGAGGACAAAGAAGAGGATGGAGGAGAGAAAGGGGACAGGAAAGCATAAAGAACTTGTGCATGTCAGGTAAGCTTCTGAGCACCTGGAATGCACTGAAAGGTAAAGCCCAAATAGTCATAGTAATCAAGTAGCTTGTCCTGGCAGGGAGTCAGGGGGAAAAGTCACTGGCAGCAATTAGCATTCTTCAAACAGAAGACAGAGATCCTCCCCCACCTTTCATGGAGCAAAGTTTTATAAAATAATATTTACATTGAATGATTTTTCATTTGTAGATATTCATACTTTTTTGGTTTTCCAAATAACTCACTACATACAAGGAATCCAAACTCACACTGACCGAGAACAGCTGCTGCTTCTAAACTAAATCTGATGCTAAAGAATATAAGGAGTTAGATGAGCTCTTAAAGTGGCTTCGATACAGGGTTACAAGTGCAGTTCTATTTTCTATTTATAGACTCTAACGGACACCAAGTGTTCTTTTTATTCCTCTTGAAGGTCAATATCGACAACTACCAGCAAAAGATCTAATCATCTACAACAATCTTTGTAATGGCCAAAGACAAATGCTTACCTATATTTAGAGGATTTTTGTTGCTTCAACAAAACTGAATTATTAATTATACATGGGATATTTTCAAAATAATTCTTAGATTTTTAATTCTTAAATTTAAAAATGAGAGTCAATAAGAAAAATGGCCATAATCTTACCGGAGTTCCTGTGTTCACGTAGCTCTGCAGCTTGTTTCTCATTTCTTTTTCATTGAATTTGGCACTTCGCTTTACATAGATTCCTCCATGCTGCCACATAAAAAAAAAATTGGGAGGAAAAAGGATTTACTCTTAAAATAACTAACCGCTATAGTCATCAAAAAGGCCACCTTTATTTCTAAAGAATAAACAAATATTTCAGAATTTATACTATATTTAATACATTTAAATATTAGCATCTTGACATTTAACTAAAAATTCTTGTTTCAACATAATTCAAATAAAACTGCATGCTACATTGTACTGAAAAATACATGAACATTTATTTTTGTTGAGAGTCAAAATAAAAATGCTTTCTTTCTTAAAAACATTTTGAAAACAAAAATCTTGAGCAATCAGTTAGAACTTAACCTCCAATTTTTCCACTAAAAAGTATCTTTAAAATGTCAACACACACAATCTTTAGGGATTTAAAAAAAAATCAGCCTAGCGACAGATATTTATGTGGCACTCTTACAGATTGAATTGTGTTCCCCCAAAATCAGTATTTGAGGCCGTAACTCCCACTGGGACTGTATTTGGAGATAGGGACTTTAAGGCGGTAATTAAGGTTAAGGAAGGTCGTCCTAAGGGTGGGGCCCTGATCCAATATGACTGGTGTCCTTCTAAGAAGGCGAAGAGATACCAGGGCTGAACATGCATGGGGAAACAAACACGTGAGGACACAGGGAGAAGGCTGCTACCTACAAGTCAAAGAGAGGTGCCTCCAGAGAAACCCACCCTGCTAAAACCTTGATCTTGGACTTCTATCCTCCAGAACTAGAGAATAAATTTCTTCATGCTAAGTACTCTATATATAGAGCTTGAGGTTTTTTAGTATCATACAAATCACTAATTACTTTTATAATTAGTTTCTTAAGATAATAGCCTATCGTATTCTGTCTTTAAATTTTCTGTTTGACTTTTGTGCATTTGCATTTTTGCTCTTTCATTTAACTTAATTACTGTTGCCCCCCCCATATGCGTAGTTACCATATCCACAGATGCAACCAACCATGGATTGAAAAATTTTTATTCAAAAAACAATAAAAAAAATGTAACAAAAAATAAAAATACAGTATAACAACTATTTACATGGCTTTTACATTGTATTAGGTATTATAAAGTAATCTAGAGATGATTTAAAGTATACAGGAAGATGTGCCTAGGTCATATGTAAAAACTATGTTATTGCACATTAGGGACTTGAGCATCTGCAGACTTTTATATCTGTGGGGGCCATGAAAACAATCTCCTCTAGAGGTCGAGAGACAACTGCATATGCATAACCAGACATGTATATAAATACACACCATTAAAAATACCAAACAAAATTACTTCAATTTAGAAAATGCTGTTAAACCCATTTAAAAAACCATACATTTATATAAATGTTAATATGTTAAATTTTAAAATATAAAAGTTTTTATAAATTACATGAAGAGAAAGCATGGACAAAGTTACCTGAGGAAAATAACACCCATACAATGGAAGCCATTTTAACCGATCTTTCAGCACGTAGCGCACATGTCCGAGAGCATTCTGCCTAATGGCTAAGATATCGGCAACAATCCAGTCAACTGCAAAGACAGAACCCAATCGGTGCCAGTGCATACATGGTTGCTATGCCAATCCCAGCATTCCCTTCACAGAAACAGAAAAAGTCTCTTCACAGGACTGTATTAGGAACATGTTTTGAAAATAGTAAGATTAGAATGTTTCAAATTACTTTAAATCAATACTAGATAATTTAAAAATATAAATTCTGTGTTTTGAGAGTTTTTAAAAAATATTTCTTGAAAGGCCTTTTAAAAATATTTCTTGAAAGACTTTTTGTTTCGGGGATAAGACACGAAAGTCACAAAACACCAAAATAATCCAACAGCAGCATGTATGTGGGAATAAAATGAGCTTCTCTGATTACTAAAGTTTAGCAAACAAAGATGTTTTCTTTTTTTAACAAAATAGGGGTAAGATAGCTAAATGAAACTATCAAGTGCAACTATTCTGTGTGTGTGTGTACATATGTTCAACAAAAGGTAAGGACACTATCTTTACTAATGAGTTTTTAGGACTCAATCCTAGGTTATAATGGCATTCTAAGAAAGGTCTCATGTGCCTTAAAACTATGGTAGGTTAATGTATGTGTTCCTTACATAACCAAGGGACATGGTCCCCAGTTGCTAATAACTAAAATTTTATACATGTTTTTAACAAAAGGTTGCAAAAACAAGAATAAGAAGGTACGAGCGAGCCGATGAACAAAAGCACCAAAAACTTCCTAGAATTAAGTTACAGAAGAAATTCCCAACAGAGAATGGCGCTTAGCAGAGCAAACAGAAAGCAGTAAACTGGGTGCAGAAGATGGCAAACAGGGACATGGTGCAAAGAGATGTGAGGGAGACTTTTCTAGTTAATCTGCAGATGAATTCTATGATGGGATACTTAAAAAGAAAATTGTTAGGAATCTGTGAAAAGAATATAGTCCTAGCATCACATGTGTTCAGGCCACGAAAATGAGAACACAAGAAGTGAATCAAGGCCGGGCGCTGTGGCTCACGCCTGTAATCCTAGCTCTTGGGAGGCCGAGGCGGGCGGATTGCTCAAGGTCAGGAGTTCAAAACCAGCCTGAGCAAGAGCGAGACCCCGTCTCTACTATAAACAGAAAGAAATTAATTGGCCAACTGATATATATATATAAAAAATTAGCCGGGCATAGTGGCACATGCCTGTAGTCCCAGCTACTCGGGAGGCTGAGGCAGAAGGATCGCTCGAGCCCAGGAGTGTGAGGTTGCTGTGAGCTAGGCTGACGCCACGGCACTCACTCTAGCCTGGGCAACAAAGTGAGACTCTGTCTCAAAAAAAAAAAAAAAAAAAAAAAAAAAAAAAAAATAAAAAAAAAAAAAAAAAGAAGTGAATCAGAGGGGGAAATGTTTTTAAAAAACGATAGGAAATAAAAGCTGAGGATTTAAAGGAATTAGAATAAAGTTTTAACCAAATGGGACAGTTTTCCACAGATTACAGGATGATTAACTCTCAGCTATGTGAAATCCTTTAGACAATGCGCCATATTAAATAGACTATCCCCAAAGAGCCATTTAAATACTGAAAATTAACCTAGAAAAATATTTTTATTGAATACTATACATGTCTTTTTAATCATGGATTATTATTCACAAGTTAACTTTTTCTTGATGACGTAAGGCTTGGGGTTAAATATATCAATTTTGGTATGGCTCCCTAAAGAATAGAATATTGCCTGCAAAGATTTTCCCCCTATAGCGTGTGGTTCCGGACAGCTGTGTCTGTCAGTTTGATATACCTATACTACACAGGGATTTCAATTGTCACTTTTCTCTAAAGCATATAACTTCCTATTGAAGCCCTCTCACCAGCCCCTTCTAATTCAGATCAAATCATTACTGATACACGCATTTCTCTCTGATCATATCTTGGAAACCATATAATCAGCCAGTTATAACCGTATCTAATATAAAATTCAACAAACTGAATAAATTCCAAGACTAATTCTGCATGGTTCTGTATGGTTCCCAGGCAAAAGTACATCTTGGAAATATATCTAGAGTACAAAGCTAAAAGTCAAATTTAGCACCTTTTCCTGCAACAACTTAAAGTTTGGAAAGATAAAAAAATACATTTTTAATACTAAAACAAACACAGTTGACTGCCCTGGGCTCTTCCATTTACAACACTTGAAAAATCTTAATGGAAACAAATGTGGAAAGACACAAGCTTTGTGTCATCAATATTTACTATGAAATTATCTTTTGTGGCTTTTGTTATTATTGGCTAGGTTTCAGATAGGTGACACTAGATTATAGCTGAGATGGTAATATATTACCTTTACAATAACTATTCATATTTTGTGTTCTGGCATGAATGACTTGATGAAAATATCAATAAATCTGGCTATGTAAGAATTCTTAAATAGTGATCCAGCCAAAACACTGTCATTGTTCCCATTAACTTGGAAGAGACTGGAGGGCAGTGAGGAGAGGCAGCAAGATTTTTCTCATCTGCATCACTATGTAACAACAGTTCCTAACTCATAAGAGTATTGCGTGGTCTAAAAGAGATACTGCACATGAAGCACTCACCTACCCTGGATCCAGCACTGTGCTAATGGTTAGCTTCAATGATCATAATCACTATCATTATTAAAGCCATCTATGGGCCAGGCAACCTACTGGAATTATGAGATAGCCTATGTAAACCCTGATGGGTAGATAATCCTCACACCTTACCAATAAGGCTCTGAGAGGTTAAGAAATGTGCATGCAAAACAGCATACAAGCAGAGTCTCTCTGACTCCAAAGTCTATGCCTTTTCATGACATTCTACTCACCATGCACACTGTTAGTCAAGAAAAGTGACACCTAAACCAAGAAAAGGGAACATTTCATGAGACTGAAAAGGTAAAAGGTGTCAAAAGCAGATAGTTAAAGGACAGGGAAAGGAATGACAGCCACTATATACTTGCTGACTCTGGAGATAAATAAGCTAACAGAGACTAAGGACGTAGAGACAACAAGGATATGTCAAGTGAAAACAAGGGAGGAGAGACTGATTTAAATGTCAATTCTTCAGAATGTTAGTTAGGCCAGGAAACTCATTTACTCTGGCAGGCCAAGCAGAGAGCAGCCTAGAAAGGCTAAGCAGAACAGCAGTCCTTGAAATGTTCTTTCTGCTAATTACACTTTCAGAACTATTCCATTGTGACTTACTATCTCAAAAGGGTTTTAAAAGAGCACCAAAACACAGCAGGCCAATGGCCCACGTCTTCAGCTAGACTTTAGGGGCCTCCAGAACCTTAAAACTACATGCAAATTTTTATGTGCTATTTTCTAGGAAAAGGCTCCATCACATACTGACTAAAGCCTGCGAGATTCTAAAGTAATTTAAAATCACTCCTTTGGTATTTTCCCAAGTTATGGAGCTTTTTAAAAGTAGCCTTCCCAAATCCTAAACGCTGGCTGGTGGGAGGATCTAGTGCCAGAGCAGTGCTGGAAAGTCAGAGGCACTTAGAGGCAAGGGGACATGGTTCTCTAAACTGAGAAATTTAACTTTTTCAGGTTAGTGTGGGCTGAGTAAGAAGATCATGTTTTTCACTGTATCTTTTAGTCCCCAATACAAGAATTTTTAAAAATCTGATTTTTCACAAATATTTCCCCAGAAGTCCTCACTCTGAAGGAAGGTAGATGAAGGCCAACATAGAGTAAGCACACGAGAATGACAGCAGTAAAGTTGCTTTATCATCATGATTACTATTACCACCACCTCTGGCAATGTTCAGAAAGTACTTATGCCATACATCAGTGCCAGGACCACAGCTTTGTTAATACAACAGTGTTTACACTGAAACCTGGAAAAAGGAAAGCTGGCAGGGAAACTGAATAAGAAATTTTAAGAGAATCCTGTTAAACAGAAAGAAAACTCTATATGAAATTAACCACTGGGTCAATATAAAGGAAATTTGGAGAGAATCAAATCTTTATCACGAGCCATTCCCTGTCCTGGGCCCATAAATCCTTTTTATTTGGATATTTGAACTCTGATGGAAATACTTCATCAACAGCAAGACAGGAATAGCTGAAACTGTGTTAGCAGTAAAAAGGGCAGTATGTCTGGATTGGCCAGAGTTATTAGCAGACACTAACCATGGGCTGATTGTTTTGCTATTTTTGCCTAAAGTCAAACATAATTAGATAAAATGGTCTGAGCCAGTCATGTAATCAAGTCTGGGAAAATATACAAATACATCAAAATAATTTCAATTCTTGTCCTATAAATCTGAATGTCGTCATTAATATGCTAAATCGAGAAAAAATGTATTTCATCCTCTTTTACTTTCTGTATGTTACCTATGGTATAGATAGTAATAAAAGCAACAAAATAATGAAGAGACAGTTGACAGGAAGAAAATAAAGAAAAGCCACATGCACAAGTGATTTTCCATTAAGAGTGTTATCACTGATCAGATTGTTTTTAGCTTTGAGCTTCTACGTACTATATTTTTAAAAGCAATAATGTAATTTAGGAAGTATGCACAAAAGTAACTATAGGTATGAAAAAAATATGAAGTGGGATTTTTTTGGACTGAATTAGAGAACTTAAAAGTACCCTAATCAATGTCAATTTTCTGATTTGATACTGTACTACAGTTATATTAAGAAAGACATCACCAATGAAAGAAACATTGGTGAAGGGGTCACAAGACTCAATGTACTATTTCTACAAATTCTTGTGACTCTATCTTAACTTAAATATATACTATACTGTTTTGGAGACCAGTCTTCTATGATTCCTCTGATAGAAGAATTAAACCAAAAACATTTGAAAAAGCAAAAGGAACTACAGACAATAAATACAGTGTTTAGGAAATGAGTACTCACATAGCAGTGCAACCTTTCTGCAGGCTAACAATAAAAAACATAAAATGTATCTACATTTTGATCCACCAATTCCACTTCTAGAAACATAGCTTACAAAAAGAATAAAAGGACTATTTAAAAAGCTACTCAAAGAAACAAGGAAAAAAAAAGTGAAACAAATAGCTTATTTACATCCAACAGAGAGATGGGCAAATTTAGCAAAATTCATAGATTTCACATTCCTGATTTTCCAAAGAGTAAATACACAAAAATATAAGGATATAATATCTGCATAGAAAACTCATGTCTTTTTTAAAAAATTCACTTCATTTAAATATATAAGAACTTATTTTGAATTCTCATGTACCATATGTAGAAAAACCTAAGTTTCATGCAAATGAAATACCAACCTGTGCTTTGATGATTTGCTAAATATATTATATTTTCTTTATTTTCTGGCAAATCTCCATATAGCAATATCTAAAAGATAAAGCAAAAAGAAACATTACTTTGGTATTTAGAAACATGTACTACTGAAATACACATAATAAAGACAATGTGTAAAAAAAAAAAATCACATGATGTTGTGAATATTTCCATCCATGATTACCAAAAATTAGACTTCTCTTAGGAGTCTCAGAGACCATAAAGAGGTCATGTTTATAATGCAGTTAAGCACTGGGAAGGCTAATGATCATAAAGTAAAATAGACTGATCCATATCCCCACGAGAAAAATAAAACAAGCATTTATTGATTGCTAACGATATATAAAGCACTGTCCATAATAAGATAAATCTTCTTTCTAAGACCCTACAATCTAGTGGAAGAGAGAGATGCATACAGTAAATGTAATGAGATATAATGCAAATATTATGAAAACACAGTCCATTTTAAAGAACTATAAACTGCAGAACAGGAAGTATTCATTAGGTGTGATGAAGAGAAAATGTTCATGAAAATAAGACCAAATGGAAGCAGTAATGTTGGAGGTCTCGTAGGTGAGCAGTGTTGTGGCTGAGGAGTTAGTACCCTGGAGCAAGGAGATCAGAAGGGTGGCTTTGAACAAGAATGTATAGTCATTTGAATGCCATGCTAAAGATTAAAACTTTTTCCGTAAGTAGGGAAACACGGTTTCACGGTTAGGACTCTATCTCCACAAAGAACAGAGTTCTAGAGGAAGGCGACTTCTAGCACAAGGGAGGGGCTGCCAAGAGGAGGGGCACACAGTGGGGATTCCAGTCCACCAGTTACATTTTATTTCTTGAGCCAGGTGGTGGGTACACAGGTGTCCACTGTACCTACATTAGTCTTTCTGCTGTTTTGTGTGTCTCAAATATTTCATAATAAAATATTTAAAGAAACTGGGTGTACATGTTTGAAGACTCCAAGAAAAATGACTGCTAATGGTGGTATTTTTTTATTTAGGGCATTCTTGCTTTTGTGTCTCGTCATCATGGACTATGCAAAATTATTAATTAGCTAAGGGTTTTTAAATCTATCTTGTCCATAGGGATTATTCATTAATATTTTAAAAACATAAGAAAGAAAAGGACCTGAGCACAACTTCTATGTAGATAAATACAACTAGATGATATAAAGTTCCAGAGGTCAGGGATTGAGACTGAGGTTTCTACTGACTTCCTTAGAAAATCTCACAGTGCTATGTACATAAAATATGTTTAAATATTTGCTCAATGAGTTGTTATAAGTTTACTGGTTGCATAAATAACTACACCAATAATTTGATCTGCACAGGATTAAAAAAATGAGGTTCTGGCCATAAGCAACCCCCACTCTATTCCCAACAAGTCAGAACCACATCAGGTCCATTGGGTACACGCTGGATTTAAAAGTTCGGCAGACAGATGGCAGAATATTTCTGGCTTCACTTTCTTAGATAAGATGCCCAAGGTTTAACTGATTCAATTCGAATACCACTCTTTGGAGATGCACTGGCCCCCAAGCCGAAGGCAATACTTGAACCACCCAAGAGATGAGACTTTCCCTTTCTTGCCAAGCTTGGTTAAGAGACTTCTAGGCTGTAGCCTCTGAAGGCAGATGACAAATAAGCTATTAAAAGTCTGTTTTCACAGAATTATAGTATCAATGACAGAAAACATACCACTGCAAATTTTGTCTTTTATGAAACTAAATACATCTCATTTTAAAATAAAACAAGCCTGGTGAGAGTAGAAAAGCAAGCACAAAAATAAACACAATCACCTAATGTGATGATACAGTAATTGCCAGTGGTGAATGCACAATATATGCATTGGCACTGAAAGGACCTGTGAAGACTACCTGCCCAGCCCAATGAATACTTTGCTCTTATGAAAACCAAGTCCTTGTCCAAAGACCCAAGATCAGTTAATAGCACTCCAAGCTTAAGAATATCCCACATCTTCACTCTTTATACCACCCTGCTAGCCTTAATATGCCACAATTTTCTACCTTTGTTATTAGACACAAGTATGAACTTAAAAGCTTCGAAGAAAAAGCCATCTCTTCTTAGTAGATATTTCTCCAATCTTTAAAAACAATTATAAAGTGCAATGCAAGGAATAAAGTATTTATACTATGAAAAAAATAGAAAAAAGAAAAAGCCACCACTGTAATCCCTATAAGATTCAGTAATCTTCCCCATCTCTAAATGGCTTTCATACAACTCATTATTTTCAATATGTTCCGTGATTAACTCAATAACAAAGTTAAACTTGCTCAGTATTTAAAAATAGATCTTTAATAGTATCTAGAATGAATTCAACTGGGTAAACACGGAAAATGCAGTTCAACTACTAGATCCCTTAGATTCTTTATTCATAGTCCTTGAAGATATATATACACATATATATATTTATACTTTTTAAGATTTTTCTTCAATATGCACAATATCTTACTGAAATAAAAGATATTTCCAACTGGAATGCAAAAGAAGATGGTAAGTCTCTGACAAGACCTTAATTAGGACCTCAAAGTAGATACCTGGATGATAGCCTCTTCTCTAAGATTTTTCATTTATCACTTAAACTACAAATTACTTGGAATTCAACAGAAATAAGTTAAAAATAGAGCAGTCCTTCATATTTAAAACTTCAAAAGATCTAAGAGCAAAGTAAGTGAAATGATGAACTATAAATTTTAATGGAATACATACAAATTATTAAGTACTTTGAATAGACATTGATTAACCAAAGAAAGGAATAATTACAATGTTCACACATCAAATACACACATTAAGGTCCTTTATTTCCTTCACCTCCAAGGCTCCAAAGCTGAATGAGCATTTCACTTTAATTTAAAATTTTCAAATATCTTCCATTCATCAAAGTAAAAGGTTATTTCTTTGCTTTTAAGTTTATCATAATAATATGGAAGAGAAGAAAACATTTTCACTGACACAGATTTTCAAAACACTTAAATAAGACAGCTATTACTGTCATATTAGCAAGTATATGAGTAATAATATAGCTGTAGTGTTTTCCAAATTTAAAAAAATTCTTAAGAATTTACAAAATAGGCTGGGCGTGGAGGCTCATGCCTGTAATCCTAGCACTCTGGGAGGTCGAGGCAGCAAGATTGCTTGAGGTCAGGAGTTCAAAACCAGCCTGAGCAAGAGCGAGACCCCGTCTCTACTATAAATACAAAGAAATTAATTGGCTAACTAATATATATAGAAAAAATTAGCCAGGCATGGTGGCGCATGCCTGTAGTCCCAGCTACTAGGGAGGCTGAGGCAGTAGGATAGCTTGAACGCAGGAGTTAGAGGTTGCTGTGAGCTAGGCTGACGCCATGGAACTCACTCTAGCCTGGGCAACAAAGTGAGACTCTGCCTCGGAAAAAAAAAAATGAATTTACAAAATACCCTTCTATATTATATGATTACCTATAAAGTCTATCTGCACTACCTCGCTGTACTCATCTCTCTACTAGCTTTTCCTTTTATTTGCCTCCCTATGAAACCACTCTTTATAAAATTAATAAAAAAGGTGGAAACTGTGGTAGGGGCCTGATTAAAATACATGTATAACCAGCCATTGTCCCCTAGCTTGCTTTTCTATAATTGCTTACTATTTGGGAGTCACGTAGCTGATGATCATGAAGATTCTTAACTTTCTTTGTTGCTCCCACAAGCGACATCATTCTTGGTGAGACCTAAAGCTGGTCTTTGAGATACATTCCAGACCCTGCATTCCAGTGGACCAACTGACCCAACCAGACCAGTGGCCCATGCCAAGCATCCAACTCAACTAGTCTTGCGACCAGGGAACTGACTCAGCATGAGAAGACAATTTCTGCTTCCCAATCCTTTGAGTTCATCCCCAGCCAATCAGCAGATCCAATTCCCTTGCCCTTTGCCCACTAAACCATCTTTAAAAACCCTGGCTCCCCGATTCTCAGTGAAATGGATTTGAGAAGTCCCTCCTGTCTCGAGTGGCACCTGTGATATTGAACTCCTTTTCCACTGTAAACTCTGCTGTCTCAGTGTATTGGCTTTCTCTTGAGCAGTGGAGAATGAGACTGGTTGGCTAGTAACACCCACTGAAGCAGTCTTTGCACCTTTTAATCCAGTCCCCAGGATTAATCATTTCCCCTTGTACCATGAGGCACCTTGTCCACACTTCTTTAGGTGCAGCTAGGACACACTGTACATAATCCTATTCACAAGTCATACCCTCTTAGATTTATCAGCTCCTCAGTTATAGACAGATACCTGATCACTTTTCTACCCCTAGAGCCTAGCATGTAGACGGTTTTCAACAGGTATCTATTGAATCATTAAATTTGTGAACTAAAATAAAATCTTAAGCCCCTCAGCTAACTGAATGGACCCCTTCTTATCCAAGGGGACCCTAGAAATACCCTAAAGCTGAGTTATTGGTCATTAGAAGGGAGGTCAGACATGCCTTCTCATGATCCCCTCCCTCCTTGGAGATTTCCTGTGTAATTCATTAACAGGCCTAAGGCTATGTGAGTGAGACAAAGCTTAAAACATACCTCAGGCCACCAATTTATTTAACAGATTACTTATTGAGTCTGTGTCCAATGGCTTGTCTCTGATTAACAGACCTCCTTATTGTAAAACATTCCATGCCTTTAGACAAAGCTTCATTTCTTTAACCAATTACAAATCAAAGAATCTTTAAATCCACCTATAACCTTTACTGTCCCACTTCAGGCCCATAACAACCCAAAATGAGTGACTGAGGCAAAGATCTCAATCAATGGAGGTTTATTAAGCCAAAGTTGAGGACACACTGGGAAAATACACAAATCACAGACAAATCTGGTTGTTTTTCCAAAGCGAAATTTGGGAACTCAGGTTTAAAGGAGATAAAGCATATAGAAAGAAACAAAGAAAGGGGAATGGGCAGTGAGACAAAATGGTTACATTTTTGTGAGACCCAGGAAATCCATATTTTATACAAGATAAGGAGAATGTCAGAAGAGAAAAAAAGGGAATAAAGACTCATCAATTATG